ATATACATACACATATATAAAAGAATGGATACATATATGAATGCATGACATTTCTTTTGTCATTGTAAAAAAAAATGTTGCTAAATTTTAATTATGCAAACAAGATCATTTTGAAAATGTAATGAAAATTCAATGTCAGCTAGTGCAAAAAGCAAATACACTTTACTGCCAAATACTGACAGACGGCTGAGAATTCACATTTGCTAAGCTCGATCTTAATCGCCAGGACTCGATCATATTCATAATAACTGCATATGCATAATAAATGTTTTTAAATCAGCATGCAAAAAAAACTAAACTACTTAAAGGCATCAGGGAGGCTGAAGTGAGTCATGTACTTTAAACCGATGCGATAAAACGTGTCTTATGTGTCAGCAGCAGCCATCCACTCCTACATTGGCTATTCTTAGTGCGGCTGACGGACAAAGACGAGGCTGACTCACAGCCTATGTTCGGTAAATGTTCTCCCGATGTTCCTGCGGCGACGCTGTCAACCTGCGGCGCTCACACATGCTGGGTGACATCGATCGGCCATCGAGAAAGGTCAGGCAAACGAGAGTGGCAGGGAGCGTCTAAGTGGCGGTCTGCAGGATGAAACAATCCCTGTGTTCATTATTACAGAAGAGGACTTTCATATGCTCAGAATCAGATGAACTTCACTCCAAACGGAGGCTGGTCTTTAAACGAACTATGAAAATTATTACAAGAGAAACAGGTGAAGACAGGTTTACATTTATGATACTAGCAGACACCGTCCTACCAAAGCAGACTTGGGCTTTTTCAATACTTTTTTGCCTTTTCACAATATTCTATATTGAAATTCAATGCATTTGCTCTGAAAATAACACTTTTTTCACTAAATGAACAAGGGGGAATATTTAATGAACACTGATTATTGATGAATGTTATTTAGATGCACCAAACATACTAAAAAAAAGACAGAAACTTGCTTGAACGGATTCACAAACAAATCAAAATTACAATTCTAACCATGTTTTTGGTTGCTTACGTTTAAATGAGACACTATTAAAACATCTCAGTGTCTGAACACTCTCATACTTGAATATATATATATATATATATATATATTTAGCAAATGGCTGCAATATAACAAAGAGTGAAAAATTTAAGGGGGTCTGAATACTTTCCGTACCCACTGTATATGACAAAACCATCTTTATGAAACTTAATGGACAAATTAAAAGTGCACTAAAATCAGCATATAAGCAACAAAAAAAAATCAGCATTGATTTATTATTTTTCTTCTCATTGTAATAAATACTTAAATGATTTGCTGTTTATAAGATTATTATTTGGAAGCCTAAATGCATAGCCTAATATTTTTTTAATGTAGATTTTGGAAGAAAAAATATTTTATTGTAAAGTTTAAGAATTTTTATTATAACTGCAATGGAAATTTTTTTGCCGTTGACGTTTGAGAATTACATAATTAGCGAGAGTCAATGTTTTCAGGTTTTAGCAATAATATTGAACTATTAATAATTCAAGCACATCATCAGCATCTGTACAAATACAAAGTTGTACACATTTGCCATTTATAAGAATTTCATTTGAAAGCCTAAATGAATAATGCTTTGGTAATCAATGTGTTTTTACTCTAAAATTTTAATGGATTTCATTTACTTATTTTTTATTTATTGAGAATATATATATATATATATATAATTGCACTGCTTTATGAATGCATGTTTTTTTTAAATTGCACTGCTTTATGAATGCATGTTTTTTTTTAATTGCACTGCTTTATGAATGCATGTTTTTTTAAATTGCACTGCTTTATGAATGCATGTTTTTTTTAAATTGCACTGCTTTATGAATGCATGTTTTTTTTAAATTGCACTGCTTTATGAATGCATGTTTTTATAAAATTGCACTGCTTTACGAATGCATGTTTTTTTATAAAATTGCACTGCTTTATGAAGCATGTTTTTTTTAAATTGCACTGCTTTATGAATGCATGTTTTTATAAAATTGCACTGCTTTATGAATGCATGTTTTTATAAAATTGCACTGCTTTACGAATGCATGTTTTTTTATAAAATTGCACTGCTTTATGAATGCATGTTTTTTTTTAATTGCACTGCTTTATGAATGCATGTTTTTTTTTAATTGCACTGCTTTATGAATGCATGTTTTTCTGTTGCACTGCCTGATAAATGCACTCGTCAGTTGTGTAGCAGAAAAGAACGCATTTCTGTGTCTGCGTGTTTATGAAAGAGATGTGCGCTACATGAACAACGGCACGTCAAGCTTGCTAAACAACACACCTACTGCAGCCACAATGCATGCATTTCTGAAGCGTGCGGCAGTGAAGCACAGTGAGGGCGGTTTGCGACCGGTTTCACTCATTCCAGATGTTTTGTTTGCCTCAAGACGGATCCAGCGCTCTCATATCACAGCACATCTCTAGAGGAGCCCATCCACCAATCAGCAGCTGCGCCTCTGCATTAACATTCCCACGCTCCTCTGCTGGAGCCGTTTGTGTAGCGTTCGGGGGGTTTCATGGTGTTGGAAATGGCTGGACAAATACACACTTCAGGATTAGAGAGAGAATAAGCGTATGAATGGGATGGAGAGAGACGGAGGGGGGGAGCGTGGGAAGGAAACTCACCCTGGTTACCATAGAAATGCATTCTGGGTTCATTCTCATTCTGACTAACATTATAAAGCTTCACCTCACCCTCTCATTTCCCTTTCTCTTCAGCTTCTGAGAAAAAAAAACTACGTTATTTATGGCTCATTTGGGATCAGATTCCCGACCGAGACCTTCACCTGATTCAACATGATCTGACAGCATGCAGGAACAGAGCGACACGTAACAATAAACTCACGCCTGAATGCATTCAAAGACGCAGAGATTCACTGGGCAGCACGTCACACACACACACACACACATTAGTGTAATGCATCCAGGTGTTTTAGTCATTCTCATTATTGCAATACAGTTATTGTGATTAAAATCAACAAATTAAAGCACAACAACTACTACTGATGTTTAAATACTTTACAATTGTTTTCCACGTTACAGCAATTACATTTTTTTGGCATTATGGTAATGAGAACTGGGGTAAACAAAAATATATAAAACTGAAAATGAAATAAATTATGCTAAAAACCATTACAGTAATGAGAATTCTTTTACATTATGGTGATGAGAAGTGTGTGGGGGGCGGAATGGAAAAAAAATACATTAAAAATGAATAAAAAACATTACAGTAATGACAATTCCTTTTGCATTATAGTAATGAGAATTGGGGGGAAATGAAATTAAACAATATTAATTTTTACAGTGAAGAGAATTTTTTTGCATTATGGCAAAGAGAATTCAAGGAAAATGAAATAAAAAAATAATACAGTAATGAGAATTCTTTTTTTGTGTGATGGGGGGTGAAACATTTAAATTAAATTAAAATATTTTTTTGTTTGTTTGTTTTTTCCCATTGTGGTATAAGAATTGTGGGAAATTAAATATAAAATGAGAAAAAATTTTTGCATTACAGTAATGAGAACTGAGGAATATTAGATTAAAAGCTGAAATTAAAAAATATTACTGTAATGAGAATTTTTTGCATTATGGTAATGAGCATATAGTTTTCATGCTTTCTTCTGATTCAGGGATGAAATACAACCTGGACATGTTTCTGACAGATTTATGTGAGATTCACCGATCAATAAACACCAAACCACACGATCAGAAGCAAATGCAAACCAAAACAACAGACTGAAGGTTGACCACATCGCAGCAAACACAGAGCCGATCACGTTACACAGTGTTTATGCACTGGATTTCATTGTGCTACAGATCATATCACACACACACACACACACACACACGTGCGCACTGGACGAGGGTTTCCCGTTCCCCTGCATGCACATGGCAACACATGCATGAGATATTCTGAGTCTCCTGATATAAAAACAGTGGCACACTCCCTCTCATTCATCTTAAAGACTCGTGAAGTGAGCGAACCGCAGCTTTCCCCGCACGAGCAATACCTCACATTCTGCCACAATGTTGCCTGGTGACAGTCGCCGTGGTGATGTGGCCGTCTCCGCACCAATGGACCACCTGTGACTAGACTAGTACAATCAGCGTATGTGTGTGTGTGTGTGTGTGTGTGTGCGTGCGTGCGTGTGCGTACTCACTCAGACTTGGCCAGTGCGCTCAGGGCCCGACTGAAGCACCACCCTACAAAGGGCAGGTCTTGTCCGTGGAAGCCTGTGCGAGGATGATCTCGCTGGGCAGCGGCCGCGGGGCGGGGGGGCCTCTCAGGCTCCTCGAAATTGGAGGTGTCATCCTCGGAACGCAGAGACGGAACGAATGGAGGGAGCGCTGGAGGAGATGAGAGGAGAAAACCTGTGAGGTGGTCGGTGAGAAAAACAGACTGGAGAGAGTGAGTGATCAGACTGTAGCGCAATAACTCGCTCGCCCACTCTCTCTCTCTCTGTCTCTCTCTCTCACTGCAGCAGTCTCGGCTAATCAGCGTGAGTCACAGCCAAAACCCGATGCGAGATCCGCACACACACAGAGCTGCATCCGCACCAACAGCTGTACTGACACACACACACACAGTATCTGCTGCTGGGGGTTTTTCTTCATACATTTACACAATTGGTTTATTTATTAAAAAAAAACAACAACAAATCACAGAAGAATCTAACAAACACTCCACGTCAATGGCACAAGCACATTGACTGCAGGAGACGTGATGATTTGAGCATCAAATCATCAGATCATCTGAATGTGTTAATCATCTCAATAAAGTCGATTGACAAAATGACATTATGATTGCAATAACAAGTCTTTGAGCTGCAGGTCAATTCAACACAATCAATCATAATCACATCAGATGTACAGAAATAACAATTGTCTTTATTTTTATCCTTGTTTTCTATGCAGCAGAATTTTATCAGTGTTCAGTAAGAATATCTAGAGAGCAAGATGACTGATGCAAATATATATCAGTATGTTTTAGATGTTGTAACGTTTATTACTGAAAATAGTAAAAAAAAAAAAAAAATGGTAAAGCAGTTTTACATAAGGTAAAGAACATGTTTTTTTTTTTAAATAATTTTTGTTGCATAAAATATTTTTTAATTAGCTTTCGTAGCATTTTATTTTCCAGCTGAATTCCATCTATAATCTTAGTTCTTTACCTTTAACATTTCTTATAAACAAATATAGGCTAATTCATAAGTAAATAGGGGTGGGAGATATACTGGTAGACACGATTAACCGGTAGAAATTTGTCAAAAAAATGTTGGTCATATCGCTCACCCCAATAAGCAAATATAATTTTTGCTCAGCAATCATACATGGCTAATCAACAACAGTGGGTGTAATTCTTTTTTTTTTTGTGAATTTTGAGTAAATATAGTGCACAATAAGTGTTTTTTTTTATTGAAGCAATTCTGTGTCCATCTCATCTCATTCTATTATGTACATATTATGGCCATTAGAAACCTGCTTCAGAATGTGGAAAATAATGTGTTTTTTTAACTTTAAACTGCATAAACACATTTCATTACACCAAATACACAAAATAATGTTCTTTTTAGCAGCATCATATGACCCCTTTAAGCTTTCATCCCTCTATTTTTCATGCTTATTCTAAAAGCAAAAACATAAATGTGGAATAATGTGAAAATCACTAGGGCTGGTCCGAATACCATTTTTTGCGCTTCGAAGCTTCGGTAGTAATCAACACCGAATATTCGAAGCTTCGGAGGGAGGGGGCTGAACATATTCTTCTCTCTAATAAAGGCAGGAATCTCTGAGTGTCTGTCTGTCTGTTTGCATTTTTATTATGTCCCGAATAGGGTTGTGACGGTGAGTAAATTTTCCCATTAGTTAATCGACGTGTGACAACATGGATAATACCGGTATCACCGTGGGGGCAGGGGCGTTCCCTCTTTTCCTCGCTTTCCTTCACTTTTAAATAGCTTGTAAAAGCGGCGTAAAGCAATTGTTCGTTTTTAGTTCGTTTGAATTTTCCCTCTTTTCCTAGCTTTTCTTCGCTTTTAAATAGCTTAAAAGCGCTGTGCGCATTTTACTTTCACTTTCAAATTTGCGCCAATTCGGCGTCAATTGCTTGAATGCAACAACAAAATACAATGTCAAAATACAGAGTTCTGGCATGAAACTCTGATGGTGCAGTGGTTCTCTCCTGTATCGGTAGCCAATGAGCTCGCTGCTCAGCATTCAAATATATGACTAGAGCTTGTCGTAACAGTGCAGCTTGCTTCAGAACAGCGATTTCAACATCTAAGGTAAGTGAATGCTCTTTTAATCCATATCGCTGTGTGTATTGCGTGGTCTGCCTAATTGAATTCAAAAATGAGCAACCATAATCAAGTTTAACTAAGTGTCATGTTAGCAGTTTGTATTGTATGCAGGAGCGAATATTAAGCATATTAGCAGCAGCATTTAGCATCTGTGTT